CCTATCTGTCCAATAATATCATTTGTATTAATGGGTAGGTAGCTTTTAAATTAAAACATCGACGTATTTGGTATACTTTGGTGAATTGAATCATCATCGGAWGTTGTTACACGCAGGAAATGAGTGCCGTAAAATCGTCTAAAAAATAATATTCTTTGATTAAAATTTTGAWAATTCATTGCGCTTCGTTCACACGCGTTATTCGTCCGGATCGATAGATGATCATAGTCATTATTGTTTATTCCGAAGGCTGTAGAATTTAATAAAAAATAAAATATACTCAGTATAACTACCTCCTCTTTGGTGGTCGCCCGTCAGTTCTACTAATCGTGACACTATWATGATAATCGGYGTGCCTACYGATTTAGTCGACTAGTAAACRTATGCTCATGTATAGGTATAAAATAATCGGCCAAGGGGCTAGAGTTCGATATTATGTAAAGTGCATTATTTTTTGGGTGCTCTTGGGCAATGCACTCCGAGCACGTAATTCGTTTTAAGCTAGTTCGTAGAATTTTATATAATATATTATGAAATATGATGATGGTAAGAACATTATATATTTGTCTGCCCACTGTGAATTTTTTTACGATATTTCAAATTTTTTTTTTTTTGCAAGTTTTGCGTATGTGATATATCACAAATCAAAAATGCTCACTTAAAAAATGAATAATTGTAAAAAAAAAACTCGACCTAAGAACACTAACGAAGCTACTCGGCGTGATCCGATGATCGTACATTTTCTGTAAATTTGCTATGTTACGCACTTGTAAGACKGAGACAACAAATACCAGTGTTATATATATTTAAAACAAACCCTCATTACTTTCGATATTGATTTATACAACTCTGATAAGATTTAATTGTTTTCAAATATATATTTTAGTATACAAGAGTATATACTTATAAGTTGTAATTATATTACTCTAGCAAAATTAAAACCTTAACTCAMTTAGGTTAACTTGGTAAATTTTTTCTAACCACATTTTAATAAGCGATGTTATAAACTGCAATTAGTAAAAATAAAATAAAACGACGTATTTGAATTCGATAATTTAAAAAATTTAATATCACACGTCTTATTATAAAAGTATTTATATTTTTTAAATTGAATCACTATTTAATCGGAATTTTCTTGCTAAAAAAAAATAGTATTTTAACTTACTTATTAGCCATATATAAGCTAATATACCACTTGAGGTTAACTTTGTGATAAATTAACCAAAAAAAAAWAATAATAAAAAAATACGCTAATTTAACGTATGACAAAAATTGTTAATAATATATGATAAGTAAATAATTTAAGAAATATACTGATGTCAGAAAATTTTCAATAAGCATATTATTATATTAAAAAAGTTTTTACATTACAAATTAATTCAACCAAAAAAATATAGAATTTAAAAAAAATTCTAAAAACCAAACTACTTGACTTGGATAAATCTTTTTACAATCAAAATTGTTCTTATAAACACAAATAGGCTATTTTGAATTTATACAAAACAATTTTAATTAAATACATTTTTTTTCSAGTTTACTAAAAAATAAACATAAAAAAATGCATTCTACATGTAGCACTAGGGTCATTTAATAAACGAAATAAATAAATAAAAAATGTTGATTTGAACAAAAATCAGTTTTATCTGTTACACCTTGTACGCGCAATATAATATACGTATACCTGCAGTGACTGAAAATCATATTTTAAGACAAAAAAATAATTTATCGATCTCGTCGATTACTGTTTGAGACGTAGTAGTAGGYAATTGATGCGGTAGTTATATGCAAATGCGTTTTGTTTYGTTTATGTCATATAATACACGTACGCCTGGTGTCAAACTATATTATACGGCGAAACCCATTACGGCGATCGTTATATATTATAATTTACGAACAGATGGGTTTGGTGTATTTTTATTTTTCTACCGAACAAATCTGACCGGAAAATCAAACGGATCCGTTAAGATATTATCTGTGGAAAGTGTATAATAATATTATTATGTGTATAAAGGGACGCGCTGCGCGTACGTTAAACGAAACAATAAAACCAGACATAAAATCAATATCTTTTAATCTTCGACAAGAAGCTAAAACGGATGTATTATTTTACATTAACGGCACGCTGAAATATCAGAGTTGTGTTCACGTGGGCACTCCCCCACGCTACGATACGCGTCTACTTATTTGGTTTGTTGGTATAAAAATAAAATAAGACATCAATTTTCGTAATAAATAAATAATTGTATATAGGAATATTTAAATTTAAATTGCTAATAATTCACAAAAGATTACGCTTTATTTCTCCTTTGTATATATTATATATATATCATACGCAACCGAAAGATCGAATAGTGCGCAAACGGCCGACGGACGCGACCGAATGTGGTGGGGGTGTTGGGTCGAAGCTGCTAACGAGGGACAATATCATAACGTGTAATCGTGTGAGAATTTTTTTTTAAATTATTTTTTCATATGAATATGAAACAAAACGGGTAACGGACATGCGCGTTTATGATAATATTTTMTGTAAATCGTATAATCGTCAATCGAATGACGCGTAGTTTTTCCTGCACGTTGTGTAAAATTCTGCAATGGTATACACACGACGACTGTGCCATTTAATATTGATTTTTTTTACAGAAATCGGTTGGTCACACACCGCAGATAGAGGACAGGTATTAAAAATGAAACTCGACTAAAAAAATCGTTTGATTGATTTATTAATTTATTATTATTATTTATTATTCTTACCATATTATATAGTGTGGTGACGGCCAACAGTGACAGGTGAT